ATTTAGCTCCATTCACCAAAACTCTTTGGGCCTGGCCATTCAACCAGTTTTTCACCTAGCAAAGCACACACCCGTCCAAGCCACGAGCAGCCAGTATCTCTAGCAGAATGTTGTGACAAACGGTGTCAAAGGCTTTACTAAAGTCTAGGTAGACAACATCCACAGCCTTTCCCTCATCCCCTAAGTGGGTCACCTTGTCATAGAAGAAGATCAGGTTAGTCAAGCAGGACCTGCGTTTCCTAAACCCACGCTGACTGGTCTGATCACCTGCATGTCCTGTATGTGCTGCATGATGACACTCAAGATGGTCTGCTCCATAACCTTCCCTGGCACAGAGGTCAGACTGACAGGCCTGTAGCTCCCCGGATCCTCCTTCCAGCCCTTCTTGTAGATGGGAATCACATTTGCTAACTTCTAGTCAACTGGGACCTCCCTGTGAAGCGTGAAGGTAGCCTACGAATCTAGAACTGGTATCTCTTTGCCTTCATCTGCATCTCAGTAGAAAGCAGAGCAAAGTAAAAACTGAATCTGCCTTTTGAACAGTGTTTACATTTAGGGTATTGGCATACTGCAGACCACTTTGACAGGTGACATGAGAAACACACTACGATAAGAAATTACAAAATGAAAATAGGAAATTTATATAGCTTTATCAGTAAGCTTGGAACATTCAGAGAATCTCATAGGCTGATTTCCTGTTTTTAACTTCGGGAATAATGCTTCTTTGTGAAGTAATGTTTCTCAAATGTATATGCCTGAAGGTCTGGCTTTTCCACATCCAGCCACCAAAGTTCTTCAGGTACTTTTCTTTTTGCATTACAAGTAAGACATCTTACATAATACTGCTTCAGTGATATTGTTGATGACACTGTAATAGAAAAGACAAAATGCAGCTAAGAAATTAATCAGCTCATAAGAGAAATAATTAGCTTAGAACTGGATGTTTCTGAAGAATAAAGACCAGCTAAGGGTAATGAGTCCTAGCAAATGATTTTTGGCTAATGACTTAGGACAGTTGCTTTTAAAAATGCTTAGCTAGGTTTTATTGTTATTGCTTATTTCATGGCTGCCAGATAGTGCCTGCCAGGTCAGCTGTGATTCTAGGAGGCTTCAGGAGGTGCAGACATAAGTGTTTACATCTTGAGCAAAGGAACCCCCACCCCTGGGTATATAATGCTGCATTATCATGACGTTGGCCAGAGGAATTTCCACAGCCACCTCTAGTGGATTGTACTAACATTTCTAACATCTCCATTTAGGAAGGAATGAGTTATCTCAGTGGGCAATGGAGCTCACCTAAGAAATTAACTCTCAAAGAAACAGGTTTAATAAAATAGGCAATTATTTTGTAGTATTCAAATCAATACATATTTAACCTCTTAAAATACTTGCTGCTTTTTGATGAATCCTGAAGTTAGTGGGACTATTCAGGGCTTCTACTACCTAGCCAGATGACTTATCTTGGATATATCGATGTCTTAGGAGGATTTAGCCTTGAAATCTGAAAGAAATCTTGCTGGTAAGCACTCAAGGTATGGGATTAATAACACTCTTAGGTATTTATGAAAAAGATTAAAAGAAAACAGTAGTGTTTTAGAAGTTCCCTTAGATGAATTACAAATGTTTCAACCCCACTCCCCCGTCCCCACTTCTCCAACCTGCATTTAAAAATATTAAGCAAGGGCCTAAATATCTGATAAAATATTGGTCTGATCTTGCGCTCATTTCACGCTTAAATCAGTTAGCAATAGTTCTGAATACACAAGGAAAGCAGGACTTGACTGCTATCTTACAAACTTAAGTTATAAAAATGGATTAAAAAAATACTTTGATGGCTTATATCCCTGGCAATTTTAAGTGGGTAGGAAATGGGTCAGGACTTAATTTGGCCTGTGTACTTGAAATAATTTTACATATTAATTCTGCCTTTGCTCATCTGCCTGATCCTAAGTTTAAAACTGCTTGATTTACTTCAATAAATTAGTGGAATTTGAAACATGTATGTTAAAAATAATTTATGGAATTAATTTAAGTGTTTATATTGTTACCAGCTGTTCAAGATTACAGAATCCAGCACTATTCTCTCTGCAGTGTGATGGAGGAATAATTTCTCTACAATTGTTTATGTTAATATCATGATAAATTTGCCATGGCTTCCAAATATTTAGCACTTTAAGCTGCTGACTTCAGTAGGGTTTTTGCCTATGTAAAGATCATGGGTTTTGGGGAAAACTGTGTACTGAAATACGCTGATACCTCTAAAGCCAACAGAATTGCTTTTCTTTACTGTTGGAGCAACTGAGATGAGAATCTGTCTCTGCTTCGCATGTAGAATTATAGGTATAACTCTTACTCAGTAACAGTCTCTTGCAGAGTGCCTTTCCGGCGATCAGTCATGCTGTGCTTATTTATGTTGAGTCATATTTCTGATACTGAGTCTTTAGTCTAAAGTCAGCAGCTCTTCTGATTGTTGATTGATCTAATTGTTATTAGAAGTTTTAAAAAATGTAAAGATTTATCCATGTTTGTGTACTGACTTTTTAGCTTTACTGTTCTATATACATTTTCTATAATTTAGTTTTCTCTTACCAACGTCAGAAGCTCTTATACAATTTTTCTTCATTTTGTATCATTTCACAAAGTTAACATATGTCTTTTCTATTTTAATTTCTGAAAAAGATGGAGGACCCATATGATGGCTTGTAAAGGGCTAACACTATAGCTAAATATGGTGCACAGAATCCTTTTGCCAATCTAGTATAAGCAATCTTCTAATCAAAAAGTGTAACTATGTTTACTTACAAATTTTTTTATTGTATGTTTGTGTTTTTTTTTTTCCCCAGTATAGGTATGTCAGCTGAGGGGTGTAAGAATGTGTGTGATATTTTAACCAGCATTGCCATGACAGCAAAATTTATCAGTGCAGAGAAAGAATGAAAACCTTTCCTCAGAGGATCTGGGATTAACAATGCCTCCTTTAGCTGCAGAGCTCAGTGTATCAGATCCCCTAGAGTCACTGAACTTGACAGAGGGAAAGTGGAACGTCACACAAAGGCTAATTAAAAAATTACCTAACAGTACCACCTTCAGTAGGGCAGTAGTAAAACCAGCTCTTGTGCAAGAACAAACAGCAGGATTCAGTAAATGAAGAGATAAATGACTCAGATGAGCTAAGGTTTTAGCAGCAGAGGACATTGAAATACTTGTTTAAGAAGTTTTATGGAGGAAGAAGGATACTGAGGGCCATAAAAGATGTGCTGAACTGGATCAGGAGCTTAGCAAGAGACTAATGTGTGTCTGGATAGGGAGAGGAAGTATGTTCCCAGAAAGGGAAAGAAAATACAAACATAATGTGTAAGCTAGAAGCCTAACAGGATGGGTGACAACAGCATACACTGGAAAGTGCTCAGAACAGGAGGAAAAGTATGTCGACACATTGACATTTGCATTTAAGATGGCAAGATACAAACTGAAATAAAACAGTAAGAGAACACAAGTGAGATAAAATCCTGTCAGACAAAGTCACCTGTGACAGACTACTGCATCTGCAGTCAACAGAGGTACAAGTCATAGCAACCACAGGTAGTTAAAAGATAATGGCAAGGAACCCCCTCTCCCACCTTTCTGTATCTCACACCTCTTGTAACGGGATAATCTTCCAGCTAAACATTCCTCTTTCTCATACACCAGCTTTCAGGTGTATGTAAAGACTCGTGGGGAAAAAGAAGACCAGCAGTTGGGGTAGTTTATTAAAAAGGTGAAGCTGCTGCTGCTGCCACGCTTCCCCCAGTTTTGAAACCTTGCTGAGGCTGTGCCGTCGCCTGCTGGAATATGATTGCACTACAGCTTTGGACACTTACACACCAAACTACAAACCCTGGAGATTTTATGTGGAAGTACTCTCTTACTGAATCAGTAGTCATCAATCATACAGAATAAGAACTAATTTATTCCATTTTTCTCCTTTTTTTTTCCCCTTAGCCTACAGCCTGAGATTGCTAAACTCCTGCTGAGATAGGATTGATCTGCCACTCAAAAATCATCTTTGTTCAAAATGCCTGAGAAATTATTCTAATGAAAGCTAGTAACAAAATAGTTCTGCATATCTCAATAATTTTTTTGAATCCAACTTATTCTTGAATGTGGATAGATGGCAAATAATATATTGACATCAACTGGATTACGATACTACAATTTTACAATTCATAGAATGTGAAAAGGCGTATTTTTAAAATAGTCTACTGGGCTTGCTGACATATTTGAGAGAAAAAACAACATTTATGTTTTGCACAGTGACATAGCCAGTAGTACTTCTATGTGTTTCCAAATCTCACATTACAGGAATTGCAAAAGAATGAAACATTTTATATGTAGCAAATATGTTTCCTGCTAGTTCTAGTCTTATGGTTGAATGTCGCAGGACATAATACGTGGGTTTACCCCGCCATAGCGTGGGTTCTCACTGTGCATATATCTTGTCAATGAATGATTTGTTCAATGATTTCTGCTGAAGCGATAGCTAATACATGAACAAAACGGTTATTGTCAGGCTGAACAAGAAAACCCATCTGCAAAAGACATTCTTGTGTCTTCAAAACCAAATCAGATCTGCACTGACTATATACGTGGTCAAGTATAAAGTGACACTGAGTTGACTGATTTTCTAAGTCTAATAGTAGGGAATAGAGTAATTGTAAGATATACATTCTGAATGTGACGCAGGAGTCTGTTGTTGCTCCATGCATTACACTTAAAATGGATTATCATAAACAGTGTACTCTGTTGGAAGAACCCACTTTTCTGAACCAGTTCCCTTCGCCATGAGCAACACTAATGACTCAAAAGCACATCTTGTTTCAGGACTCTGCATGTAGAAGAGCACTGATAAAAATATGGTTGAAATATGGTTCCACTGAGTAACTGTTTCTAATTACTCTGTGGTGGTGTGTGAAGCTTTTCAGAACAAACACACAATAAATGTACTGTATTTTGATCCTACACAGTGCCATATATTCCAACGGATTGCCCGATGAATATTCCTTTCTAACTACTTTTCGGATGACTGGGGCCACACTTCAGAAATACTGGACTATTTGGCAGATTCAGGATTCTTCAGGAAAAGAACAAGTTGGAGTGAATCTTAATGGTCAAATGAAAAGTGTTGAGTTCTCTTACAAAGGAGTGGATGGCAGTCTCCAAACGGCATCATTTTTGCATTTGCCTTTCTTGTTTGACTCCCAATGGCACAAGCTTATGATAAGCGTGGAAGCAAACAGTGTCACACTTTTTATTGACTGTATTAAAATAGAATCCTTAAACATAAAACCAAAAGGGAAAATCAGCGTTGATGGCTTTGCTGTGCTTGGAAAACTTAAAAATAATCCTCAAATTTCAGTTCCGGTAAGTTCCAAAATCTTTTATTACTGCAAAAAGTGTTATATAGGATCTCTACACTTGATTTTGTTTTTTTTGTGGAATGCATCTTCAAATGTTTTCTGAAAGCAAAAATGGCAGAAATTTACAACTCCTTGGCAGGTAAGTACTAGCTTTCCTTTTTAAATTTTGTACATATATATACTGTGTAAGGTAAGAGATGACCCAAGTTATGTCTAAGTTACAATAGTGAAATTTCTCAGGCATCACGCTTCTGTCATTGGATTCTGCTCTGTCTGGGTGTATCAGCTGAGTTTTCCTCTGCTTATCTCATATGCGGAGCTTGATCTAGAAGGAAGTCTCAGGATATGGATTTGTGGACTGTACCTCACACAAAAAAGAGCAAAACATTCACTGAGCAAGAACTGAGACCTCTCTATCATATGCATGCACCGACCATCAGCGAGAGATAATTATATGTGTCTCTGGCAGAATGAATATTTTAAATCGTTAATACAAAGGGAATATCTCCTGTAAGGGAGATTGACAGAGGTCCTTTTCACCTATTCTGATGTTTACATAAGAAATGAGAGACCCATGTTTAAACCTCAGTGCTAAATCAGAGATTATCATGAGTACATTATATCTCAGGAGATTGATCTAATCATTGTGCTACCTGGTATGATCATGTTAACAGTTGCTTTTTCTCCTTAACTACCCTGAGTTTTTTGAAAAAGGCTGACCTGGAGTAGACAGTGAACTCTTAAAGAAGGTTCTTGTTTATGGTTCCTATGAAGGATAGGTGTAGCATCAGAGACTAGATCCAATCCAAGCGAAGGGCACGGCAGAGGTGAGACATAAAGCCCACCCATTTCCACAGCACCTTCTCCTGGCTAGCTCAGGACATCGCACCCCCACATCCTGGCTCTGTGAAACCCTTTGTTAGATATTTAACTTTCCCTGTGCATCGTAGCAGACACCTAAACTCGCTGTGGAGTGCTCCTTTATTCTGTGTAGCCAGAGTAGGCAGTGAAATACTTATATCTTGTTAGTGGATTTAATGCTGAAAATATCCTCTTCATGTTACTACATTGCAAAGAGAGTTGTTTTGGTGGAGAAAATAACATTGGGGGTGACATATGTTAAATATTGAATGTTTTTGTGCCCTTCAACAAAGAAAACTAAATGCAAAACACCTCTGGGATCTTATTATTTGATTATCTTATTCAGTTTCTGAGATGAGTGATCAACATAAAACACATACAAAGTGACACACCTGTAATTTCTGACAGAAAAAAAAATGCAGCTGTCACATCTGCATTTTGCCTTTCAGACATCAACGAAAGTGATTTCTCAGCTAGTGTTTTTTCAGCTAATGAGTTATTCTGCACCTTATGATGAATGATGTAACAATTTTTTCCCACAGTAACGCTAAATGACTTTGGGAAGGATAGTTCTTAATTCACTTTGTAGATTAAAAGGAAACAGTTCCAAAACACAGTTGAAAAAAATTGCAGAAAACATCACAAAGTTCCATATATTACCCTGTTCCTTTTCCAAGGATCCTCTTTAAATGTGTTAGGAACATGTAATATCGTAAGATATCTATATATATATTTATATCTATATCTGTATCTATATGTAAGGTACTCATTTCAAAACAAGTTGAATGGCAAAAGCGAATCAGATACTTTATATATTGTAACCATTTTCCACATTCCTACACTGAAGTTTTGCATCAACTTTGAAATAAGAAGAGTGAAGTGAGATGTAATCTTTTAACTATATTTCACATTGTTTGCAAAAAAACGTGGCCACAGGATAACCAGCATTGTATAAACTCGGAAGAGGAAATGTTGCAAAAAAAGAAGCATCTCGTGCTTCATCACCTCTGTATGTGTAGGTTACTATATTGCACTGGATAGAAATAATTTTTACTTGAACAACGATGACAGAAAGCTGCCCTAGGTGTCTGAAAGTGGCTATGTAGTATGTTGCTATAGGTATGGATAATAAATAGCAATAGCTGAAAAGTTACACTAATTCTGTTGAAAACAAAAGCTAGTCTTTGAAAATGTCATTCAAAACAGCTGTTAGCTGGAGCTGATAATGTAATGATTAGCTGCATAGGTATGTTAGCTTTGCTAACTGGTCTGAGGGGTACTGGTGGATGAATGGGATGATGAAAACATTACATATTCTATGCATGTTACTAGGATGAAAATTTTCTACCCCAATATTGTATTCCTCTTTGGAAAGCTATTTAGACTAAATGCAGAGATCTATAGGTGTTAACGTAATAGTATTACAACACCTATTATACAGTGCTACAGGTAGTGCCTGTGCCCTCGAGTTAGTCACAGAGTCATTCCTTTAAAAACGAGGATTCCTGTTGCTTGTTGAAGTAATGATTAGAAATGGGAGCCTACAAATGAGGAGAGAGATGGTAGAAGAACTTGGACTTCTCCCTCTTTTCCATTGGTGCTCTGGCTGACCTTCGTCTAGGATTAAAGAAGTCAGGAAAAGCAGCAGAGGAAAACTGGAATTTTAACCCCCTTCCTCTCCAGCTTGTGTTTTCAGAAACTTGCTCTTTTCAGCAAGGGAAACAAATGAGGAATACTAATTACCCTAGGCTCTTCAGGCATCTCGTGAGGGAAGAGTGTCTAGCATTAAGTTCTGCCTCATCTGTGTTTAAGCACATACATCTTTAGGCACTAGTGTGAAGCTACGTTAAATCTAGGATGCCCCTCTTCAAGGATGAAAGGACAAAATGGAATTAAGTAATTTTTACAATTCACCACTCCTCATGCAAAATATCTGTTTATACCTTCAGCATGTTTCTGGGAAGATTCAGTCATATTTAGTGCATTTTATGAAAAAAAAAATCAAATCTTTGCATAAGGTAGGCCTTAAAACAGGAATATGATGCACATTTTTTGACAAAAGAATAATGAAGCACTGGAACAAATTAGCAGGAAAGGAAGAAGGTAAGCATCACATTACATTTTTAAACTGTGTTTGGATGTCTAAAAAACATACTTCAATTCAGATGAAACTGTGAGTTTGCGATAGGACTCACCAGATTGAATTGCATGGCCTGTGCCATGAACCCAAAACTGACAATGGTAGTGGTCCAACCTGATATTATAAAAATGTAGATTTAGGAAGACCATATTATCTGAAATTATGATACAGAAATTACTCAATCTGATGGCCTAGTAATTTTAAACCACCTGTTTATACTGCTCAAGTTTCTGGTTTAGCTTATGCATTTAATTTCTCTTTAAACAGAGTAAATAAATCTGTTTAGGGATATTCTAGACTTATTCTTTAACTTGCTTGACTATACTGAGTTTAAACATCTCACTAGTCTTGGTTATTTAATATGTCCCAGGTACAATTTCTAATTTATTTCAAGGAATGGTTAAAGTATATTACTTCCAGTGGTACAATTTTTAAAGGATATAAATTATGTGTTTCTTATTCTTCTTTTTTGCAATATTCTATGGGTACTCTTATTTATCTTGCAGCATAGGTCAACTTCGTATAGGTCCACTGTAATGCATGTCATTTTAAAAGAGATTCTTTATTGCTTGTTGTTACCATGATTGCCTAGGAGAGTAATAGATAGAGTTCCATTAGAAACTACGGTTTGCCTTTGAGCCTTTACGAAGATTTATTCCAGGATTCCTAGAATGTTTTACGAAGGGCAATTTTTTATACAGGTTTACAGCTGCATTTTATCTTTTTTTAGATAAAAGAGAAAATAGTTCTTTTTACCTAAAAGTAATTAAAATAATCCACTATAAACTCTAAGCAATACAAGATATATCATAATTTCAAAACTGAAAACGAACTTACTCTCTAAATCACGTCTGTTATAGAGAGGTAGGGGCATTCATTTCTTACTGCTCAAAGATTAACTGCTGTGAGACGACATGAATTGCCTTAGTTTCTGCAATTTCTGAGGCATTATCCTGATTTTCCCATAATAGACACTTTGCTAGAAGAGATCCTTGCTCATTTTTTAATTGACATTTAATGCTGCTAACTAGTTCAGGGCAGCTGCATGACTTGCAACATCTAAAAGGAAGCTGCTTATCAATATTTGCTGAACAGGGATTAATTTACATTGTAGAACAGATTGTGTATGTGAATTGTAAGAAGTCACGTTTCAGTTTTTTTCACTCTGTGAAATCTCACACTCAGAAGGCTGAACCCTTGCTATGGAAGGTCAGATAGCACCAGAATTTGTTGTACTGTTCTAAGAGTTTGAAATGTCTTAGAAGTGAGGAAAGTGAAGCTCTAAAAACCCATTACAGAGATGTAGGAAAATGGATAAAACATGTTTAAAATAGCTCTAGAATGAGATAAGTTTAAATATGTGTAGCTTATTTTTGGTCACTTAACAAATGTACAAAGAACTGATAGCAGACTTCCCTTAGAACAAACATAGGTATCATTGGCGAAAAATTGTGGAAAACTTTCTCCTGAAAATTGGTTAGCTGAGTTGTACTTCTCCTGAAGGGATGTCTTCCCCTGAATCATCCCTGAAGCAGCAATAGCCCAGCGGGGCACAGGGAGCCAGTTCTCCCAGAAGGGACCTGCAAATGTGCTCTGAGTTTTCCTTAAAGCCTGCGGTACTGCTGAACACTTCCCTGTGACTGATGCTATATTGAAAGCTCTACCCTCGATATTTACGTCTCATTTGCATTGTACTTAACCTTCATCTCTCTCATCTAAAGCACTAATAAGACAACTGATTTGCATAGCTGACACTGAGACGTGCAAAGCTGTGGGCATCTTCAGGCATTTCCATAGAATTTAACATGACAAAACAGGGAACAGACAGACGCAACTAATCCAGTTATATCTGTGCTGACTTAGAAATTAAGATGAAACAGAAATCCTGTAGGAATCTATGAAAACAGATGTCAGAAGTATTGACCTATGGGTCTTAAACACCTATAGGTCTTAAAGGATTACATTTTAATAACTTGTTTTATGATTTCTCCCAATTTATCTGAGGTTAATTTCTGAGAACTTTGTGCCTGTATTTCACCCTGAATAACACTTTGTATCGATATCGATAGCACATCTACATGAGACACCTTCAAAATAGTGGCGTCCTTTAAATCAGCTTGATATAATCAACAACATCATCGCGCAATGCTGGCGAGGAAAAAGGTAGCTGGGCAGCAAGGCTAGGACATATTTGCCCTTCTCTCACCTCTCCTAAATCAATGGGAGGCCAGTCACACTTTTTACTACCTTGCCAGAAAAGAGTTTTCATTTTTCATTTTAAAAAAGTCAAACAGGTTTCATCTCAATTTTTGCTTTATATTGCTTCAAAACAGTAACAAAAGCTTTAAGCAAAAAATTTACAGAGCAACCACAGTTTATTTTTTTAAAAAATGCTGCCTGGCTAAGCAACTGTTGACTAAAAAGCTGCATGTTCAAAATATTTCTCCTTTTACATTCATATTATGGTGCAGTGTTTTGTAAATAATACTAGTAAAATGTAAAAAATGAGTCTGCATAGGATGCCTGCCTTATTTATTCAGACCTTTTGTGTGTGTCTTAAACTCATGAGAGTACCAGGCCTTACTTAATGCTGACCACTCAAATCCCATCTTGAACAAAACAAAGTAATTTGTTTTCTCTTTGGCCATTCAAGAGCATTGGAAGAAAACACATGAGATACTAAAAGGATTTTCTGGCTCCCTGAGTCAAGTTCTCAGTGCAGCAAGCAATCACATTTTATAATCTCATTAATAAATTTATCTCTATTTTAATATTGATTACATTCAAAGTTGAAAAGCTGGGTTCAAACTTAAAAAATGTATATGCATTTGCTAGTAGTATTCTCTTAAGACACAGACGTTAGCAATTGGACAGTTACCATCAAAGTCTAACACAACCCAGTAATTAGCATTTTATCCACCTAAATTTTTCTCGTGTTAGTACAGAAGCCAAAAAACAGACACATACACAAAAAAAAAAAGAATCAATGTTTATCTACATAAAAAACCTAGAATGCACTGATGCAGATATTAGCTGCTGGTGATATGTCTTAGAAGTAATTTTTTCAGTGTTTGCAGATTTTGCACCATGTTCTAAGTTTGAAAGCACAGCTCAAGACTATTGATTTCAGTTAATGGTTGTTACTGATCAGCTTTTTTGCATAACCTGAACCCAGATGCTTCATTTCTGGCATCAAATTCCCTCCTCTCACCCCATGCAGAATGCTCTCAAATGAGACTATTTTTATACAAATAATTTGTCAGCACTATATAAGAATTACGAAGTAAAAGCAGCCTCGTTCAGTGGCATCTATCTGCTTTTTCCACAAAGCCGTCCTTTCTTTTTTTACCACCTTTTGCCCCATTTACTTTCAAACTTATGGTTTCTGCAGTATGGGAACCATTTCCACAGCCTTGCTCATTTGGTCTTGTGGATGAGGGATGTGTTCTAAGGAAAGAAGTGTGGAATCACACAATTTCAGATTACATACAAATTAAGTTTGTACAGGTAACCTTAAGTATGGTATTTTCTAACTACTGAATGGATGACTTTTTGATTTTAATATTTTTAATATAATTTTAATTTAATATTAAACAAACTGAAAAAGTAGAAATTCTGTCACTTAAAACAGTATTTATTTAAATCAGAAATATATTTTTATCTAAATCAGAAATAGACTATAAACTGCTTTGGAGTCAGTTATGGACATCTTTTCCTCTGCAAGTGAGCTTCAGAGGTGAATAATGTAGAGGCTCAGGACTCAGAATCTAGTTGTATGGTATGAAACAAATTATCATATAGGTATCATTTGATCCCATGTTATGCCTTTCTATGAGTCTTCATCTTCAGATTCCAGACACCCTCTTATTTTTATTATTGTATTGCTGCTGCTGCCTTGTAGTATTATATTATAGTATATATTCAGTTCTTTTATATGTATATTATGACATTCAGTTGTCCATTATTCAGGGCTGGGAAAGGTTTTAAAATGAGAATTGAATAAAGCAGGTAGAGAATTGACTCGCAGATAGTGGTGTCAGATAACAGGTAAAAGAAACAAGGGTACTGCCTCACTTGTGCTCAAGTCTCAGCACTCTGGAAACTGTGATGACTGCAAAGTAAACAGAACAGTAGAGATGTGATAGCCAGGATTTCAGGAGTGGCAGCACTGAAGGGGGGAAGGGGAAAGCAAAAAAAAAAAAAAAAAAAAAAGCAGCAACTTGTGGATATGTGAGTGTCTTGCAGAGATCTTAAAGGATTTCAGACTCAAAGCATTTATTAGCTCTAGCAGTCAGTATGCAACTAAGTCAATGTAAGGATGGTGGCGGGAGAGGAAAGCATCTCAGAATGGCAGTCTGCCTTCTGCACCAGTTACGGATTGGGACTGAAGAGAGAAATGAGATATCCCAGAGGGAGCACAGAAGGCAGCCAGGAAGCATCAAGACATTATTTGCTGTGGGAGGGATGGTAGGGAGCTACTTTAGATCAACAGAATAAGAAGAAAGACTTGGGGAAGTAAAGAAATAAAAAGTGATAGCCTCCTTGACACTCACTTCTATTTTCAGCCTTTCAGAAAAAAAAACAAATCAGAGTCTTTTCCATATCAGGGCTTTATGGTGTAACAAGAAAAAAACCACAAAACTTTCTTTTCCCCCAGCTCCTCAGCCATCCATAATGAAGAGAAAGGAATAGGAGCCTCTGAATTTTGTCATCAAACTGAGACATCTCTGGATAAACTACTCATTAGTGGTTCATAAGCCAAGCTGATACTGTGTGTGATGGGAAGGGAAAACAACCCAAGACTTTAAAACTTAGATACAGTAAATATGCACAATTTAATGTTTCTGGTACTTAAAATTCTACGTGATGCATTATACATCAACGGATATACCTCTGAAGCTCTATGTTTGAGCTATTCAGTAACTTTCAGCAAAGGGTATGTTTTTCAGTCTATATAGCACATCAAGCAAGTTTTACTTGCAGCTTCTGAGAAGAGGTTTACCTTAATTCTGTGTTGTTTTCCACTGCCAAATGCAAATGTTCAAAGAAGATGCGAAATTTCACAGATGTATATTATTCAGTTGCAGCCTGTTGAGCGTGCATACGATCCTGCTTTTTGAACTTCTCATGCTTAGACCACGTTTCTGTCCTCAGACCTGCCATTCTTCATGGGCACAACCCTCCACTCAGAGAAAACCTTGCTGTGTGTCTAATAAAACCACCACGAAGCATGAGGAAAAATGCCTGTGCTTATGAAGAACGTGTGAAAAATGACACATGATGAATATCGCCTTCTCTTTAAATCCCTCGGCAGGTTCATGCCGGCTCTCTAAAAGACCTCCCCAGTTAGGGATGGGGGAGGAAGGCAGGGTGAAGCACTGCTCCGGATTGGGCTCTGCGCTACACCCGTAGCTATTACCACTCAACACCCACCTTTTAAAACACGCCGTTAGCTGACCAGTGTTCCTCCCACCGCACCCTCGGCCAGCGCGACCCCCCGACTCGAATTAATGCCATCTTTATCTCCTTTGCCAGTTCGAAATCCAATGGATGGTGATTCACTGCGACCCCCTGCGACCCCAGCGCGAAGGCTGCGGCGAGCTGCCGGCCCGGGTGAGCGCCCTGCC